GGCTGCTGAGCTACATTTTGGGGCAGCATTTACATCCCAATGGGTCTCTAGCATCCAAGGTACCCCCCTGACACCCTAGATGCTCAACATATGAGCAACTATTTTCAACCCTTGCCCCCAGTGGCAGGAAGCCAGTGGAATGAAGTTGACCTGAGTGGCTTTAACCCAGGCTCATGGCTGAGATGTAGAAGCACCTAGGCCAGCCCTGGCATTAACGGAACTGGCTTGCTGGGCCAGATGAGTGGATTGGGGCTTGGTTGAGGAGGAAAGGAACAGAGGACTTATCTCTGCAACCACAGGACATGGGCTGACTGAGAACTGAGATTCACTATGTAGTATAAGATCACACAAATGCTGTCTTGATAGTTTTGAGGTCCTGACTGGAGGCTGTTCCGTTCCCCTTCTTTTTAATATTTTAGGTGTTTAATTTTGATGAAAATATCATTATACATACACCCATTCATCAGTGTCTACATGTACAATTCAATAATATTGGTTACATTCTTGTTGTGTCACCATTCTCACTGTCTCTACCCATAGTGTTTCACCACCGTTGACTTAGACTCGCTGCCCCCTAAACTTTGCATCTGTGCTTTAGGGTTACTGTTGACAATTTCATCTCATTGTCTTTCTTGAGCCCTGATTAAGTCCACTCTGCAACCACTCCCTTTATCAGGGTCTCACTATGCACCCATCCTCATCACCCTGGGCCAGATACCCAACAACTAGGAACAGCCTTTACTCCCCGGAGCCTGTGGAATTATTCAAAATACATAAACTCTAGGAAGCTCAGGAAACCTCACTCACCCTACCCACTTGTCATACATGAACCCTCTCCTACAGTTCCAACTTTTTGTCACCTTGTCCCTGGGTGCAACCCTCCAAGTGGTTCTACATGGCATGCTGTGTTCTCCTCCAAGGAACTCTGAGCATAAGAAAACCTTTAAAACATTCAGTCTCATTACTGAACACTTTGATCAAAGATTCTATAGAAGAATCCTAATCAAAAGGGGAGTAAACGTAGAACAGAATTTTTAAATTCTCCTGGAATCCAGACTTTCTGGAGTAACGGGGGCTGAATGAACTATTTCCCTGAGATAAACTATTGCCCTGAGAAAACCTTTAAATCTTAAACCAAAAATATCCACTGAATCTTCTTAAAAGCAAGCAATAGCTTATTTAGTATAAAATGTCTGCCTTGAGCATTGTGCTCTTTTAAGATCTATCTATGTGAGATCAAATGGACAACAGCAACTCAAAAGGTTAGATAGGATGCTTAGGGGGCAATGAGTTTATGTTAATGGGGGAAGAAGAGGGTGAGAATGGTTGCACAACTTGAAGAATGTAATCAGTGTCACTGAATTGTACATGTAGAAATTGTTGAATTGGTGTATGTTCTGTGTATATTCTCAAAAATAAAATTAAAAATAATTTTTGGTCTCAACAATAAAAATAAATTATTAAAAATAAATATTTATGGTCTCTCTTGATCTGTCTGGTCTTACCATTCTCTCATCCAAGGTAATATGATTACAAGATAGGTGAAATTAATAGTTGAAGCTAACTTGGTTTCTAAGAGCTAGTGTGTTAAATGATGCCCATGTGGAAATTATTATAACTGGTCACTCAGTGTTCCTAGTTTTCCTCCCAGATGCCTGGTAGGATTGCACTTTCTCATTCCCTGAGAGGTGTGGACATCTGCTGCTTCTGGTGGAGATCTTAAGAGTAGTGCATGGTTCACCACCTGCCCTTCTCCCTGCCACAACAAATGGTGGGCTGTCTTAGTTACCTAGTACTGCTGTAACAAATACCACAAAGTCCTGGCTACCAATACTGAACATTTAAATCAAGGATTGTATAGAAGAATCTTGATCGAAAGGGGGAAATGTGGAACAGATCTAAATTCTCATAGAATCCAGACTTTCTGGAGCCATGGAAGCTGGATGACCCCCCAAATCTATTACCCTGAGGAAATCTTTAAACCTTGAACCAAAACCATCCCCTGAAGTCATCTTTGAACCAAATAACAGTTTAACCTGATTAGGAAAGAATGCCTGCATTAAGCATTACACCCTTTTAAAAATTGTCTCTATGTGATCAAATTGACAACAGCAGCTGAAAAGGATAGATAAGAAGTTTAGGGGGGCAGTGCGTTTGTGTCAACGATGGTGAAATAGTTTGGAAAAGGTTGTTGAGAAATGTGGCACAACTTGAAGAATATAACCTATTGTACATGTAGAAGTTGAAGTGGTGTATGTTTTGTTGTATATATTTTCACTCAAAGATAGTTAATTAAAAAAAGAAAAAGAAATACCATAAAATGGGCACCTTTAAAGAACAGAAATTTATTTCCTCACAGCTCCGGAGGCAAAAAGTCCACATCAGGGTCCCTGCCGTGTCAATTCGTCCTGTGGGCCTCTCTTCCTAGTTTCTAGTGTCAGCTGGTGATCCTTGGCTTTCCTTTGCTCGTGGATGATCCTCACATGGTGTCTATCTTCCCCTTGTGTGTGTCTCTGTCTTTTCTGCTCTTTTTATAAGACACCAATCAGAATGGGTTCGGTTTAGGACCCACCCTACTCTGGTATGAACTCATTCACAAAACAAAAGAAAACCCTTATTTCCAAACAAGATCATATTGACAGGTACAGGGGTAGGGTTTCCATATAACTTTTGGGGGGACACAATCCATAACGGGCATTCCAGATGTGTGTCCCAAATTGTTGACAGTGTGGATGAGGCACAGACACAGTGGGCACAGAGCACAAACAAACCTGTGATTGTTTTAAGCCCCTGAAATTTGGGGGTCATTGTTTCACAGCAAAACCTGACCCCCTAACAGATACACTGTGAGGGGTGAAAAGCTCACACCCCAGGCAGAGTATGTGAGTGACTGTATGGACAAGAGCAGTGGGCCTCATGCTCATGTGAAGCACCTGGATGGACAGCTTGTTCAAAACACAGGCTGACAGAACCCACCCCCAGAGTTTCTGGGTCAGTAGGTCTGGGGCTGGAGTCTGATAGTTTGCTTTTCTATCAAGTTCCCAGGGGATGCTGATGTTGCTGTCTGGGGGTCACATTTTGAGAACCACTAGAAAATTTATATATATATATATATGTATATATATATATGTATATATATATATATAGTTGTTGAGTGCTGTTGAGTCGATTACGGCTCATAATGACCCCTTGTGACAGAGTAAAACTGCCTCATGGGGTTTCCTAGGCTGTAATCTTTAGGGCAGCAGATTGCCACGTTCTTCTCCTGCAGAGTCTCAGTGGGTTCGAACCAACTTTTCCTTTAGCAGCCAAGCGCTTAGCTGTTGCGCCACCAGGGTTTCATGTATATATGAAGTGTGTATACGTGTGTATTTCTCAAAATGTATACACACACACATGAAATTCTGGTGCCTCAGTAGTTAAGCACTTGGCAGCTAACCAAAAAGTTGGCAGTTCAAACCCACCAGTGGTGACTCCGTGGGAGCAAAGACCTGGCTATCTGCTCCCATAAAGATTTACAGCCTTGGAAAACCTATGGGGCAGTTCTACTCTGTCCTATAGGGTTGCTGTGAGTTGGAACTGACTTGATAGCAACAGGTTTTTTTAATACACACGCGCACGCACACGTAAGTGGCAGAATAGTGTTATAATACGTTCCCATTTAATTTTAATAAGCAAGTATCTTCACCGTCTCAATGGATGATCTAGAGAGAGGCGTGAGGAATCTGGGAGTCGGTATAAAAGAAACACTAAGTAACCTTTTCCTCTATGTATCTATTACTTAAAAATAAGAATTACATTTGTTACTAAACATACCAATTCCTGACCCAAATTCCACTAGCATAGCCCCTATCAGTCTGAATGACTTTATCCATCAAATAGTCTTTTTGCTTTGCTGACTGGCGGCCACCTCATTTCTCAAGCGTTCCATGATAAATAGACCAGTGTGAATGTGAACATTAGATTCAGACTGTTAAGCTCTGCTATTTACTAGCTGGGAGGAGGCGGATAATATTTAGCCTCCCCTAAACCTCTGCTGAGCCCTGGTGGCACAGTGGTTAAAGCAACAGGCTGTTAACCAAAAGGTCTGCGGTTGGAACCCACCAGCCTCCCCCAGGGAGAAAGATGTGGCAATCTGCTTCCATAAAGATTTACATAGCCTTGGAAACCCTACTTGGCAGTTCTACTCTGTCCTACTGGGTCTCTCTGAGTAAAAATTGAGTGGACAGAAACAGGTTTGGTTTGGGTTTGGTAAGCCTCAGTTTCCTTATCTGTAGAATGGGGACACCTTCCTCAGGAGGTAAGTGGGAGGCTTTAGGAGATAGTGGATGTGGATTCAGCTGAGCTTCACCCACTGATGGCCCAGTGAAGCTCTGTCTGTGGTGCTAAAGGACCTGATTTAGAGACATGGGGCAGTGGGGAAATTTGTGGATACTTTTGTCCATCAGGAGCCCTGGTGGCACAGAAGAGCTTGGCTGCTAACCAAAAGGCTGGCACTTCGAATGCACCAGCTGCTCCTTGGAAACCCTATAGGCAGTTCTACTCTGTCCTATAGGGTCGTTATGAGTCGGAATCCACTTGACAGCAATGAGTTTTTTGCTTTTTTTCCAGCAGGAGCCCTGGTGGCACAGTGTTTAAGAGCATGGCTGCTAACCAAAAGCTCTGCAGCTCAAATCCGCCCGGCATTCCTTGGAAACCCTATGGGGGCAGTTCTACTCCATCTGATTCAATGACAATGGGTTTTGGTTTTTGTCCATCAGTAGTCCCCAGATGGTGCAAACTGTTAATGTGCTGGGCTGCTAACCAAAAGTTGGAAGTCCACCCAGAAGCACCTTGGAAGAAAGGCCTGGAATCTACTTCTGGAAAACCAGCCATTGAAAATCTTATGAAGCACAGTTCTACTCTGATACACATGGGGGTGCCATGAATTGGAGTCAAGTTGACAGCAAATGGCTTTTTTTTGTTTTGGAGCCCCAGTTACCCTGAGTAATCTGCTCCAATTCTATGCCACAAGAGACTCCCTGGGCTGCAAGTAGGGACACATTAGGGGCCCAGCCACACTGGAATTCAGGATACTGGGGCCACCTCTCTTCGGCCCAGATCCCACTGTGGGTGGCTCAATGGGTCACATTTCGAAGAGCTACACAGCCACCCAATGGCCCAGTCTGTACCAGGTACAGGTAAGACCGCCTTTCTCCATGGACCTGACCCCAGCACAGGTCACTTCTGCAGGAACTCCCGGTAAGGAACTGGTCTTTTATCCCCTTCCCAAACTCAAGAACCACGCAGAGCAGGGACAATTGGATAGTGCCATTTATTGCCCCCGGCCCTCCTTCTCCCACCACGCCCAGGCCAGGAAAGAGACGGTACCACACTCCCTGCAAGGTACATTTGAAGGAGCAGGTTCTGCTGCTTTGCTCCTCGGCTACTCCAACCCAGGAGGTGAAGGAGTGACTCAGGCTAGAAAAATCGAGGGGACCCGCAGGAGAGAAAAACATATCAGGGGAGGGTATGATTAAAAGAAAGACTAAAAGAGAACAAGGGCCCGCCTTCCCTTCTGGGGGCCCTCCACACAGAAAGGGCCGGGTTCTCTCCGTTCCTTGCAGCACCCCTGACGGCGGCGGTAGAAGGGCACATGGTGTCTCGCTTGTGGATTGTTGTCTCTTGGTCTCTAGTTTTCTCACATGTGGTGTCGACCTCGGGCTCCCAGGCCGAGCACCGGGAGAGAGGGTAGGCCAGGCGGAGGCGCAGGGATTGGAGAGGGTGGGCGCAGTCCGAGGTGAGAGATGAACATGCCCGAGTGCCCCCTCCCCTAGTCCCCATTGCCTATGTGGACAGCGTGGGGGCACAGGGGTGGCCGCCACACCCTATATCCGTCTCCCCTGGGTCTCTGGATCGCTGCCAAGCCCGGGGAGCCCGAGGGGCCTGCCCATGCCCCCGGGCCGCCGCCCCTACCGGGAGTCCCCACGGCACTCGCCGCACCTCACGCCGTCCTCCTCCTCCTGGTCGCCTTCGTCCTCACCGCCCGCGCGGTAAAAGCTCTGTCCGCAGCTGCTGCAGACTGCGGGCGCGCCCACAGCGTGGACACGCTTATGTCTCCGCAGCGCCGCGCCCTGCACGAAGCCCTCCCCGCACTCCACGCAGATGTGCGCCGGTTCCTCACCGCCCACCGCCCCCGGCCCGTCCCCGTGCTGCGCGCGCTGGTGCGCCAGAAGCGCCGCGCCATGCCCGAAACCCTTGCCGCACTCCAGACACACGTAGGGCTTCAGG